CCAACTACTGAGGATCTGGATGCAGAGATCCATGGCTAGGCCCTGGGTGGATCTCTGGGAGTCCAATTAGCGAGAATGAGGAGGGTTTATATGAGCGAGAATTGTTGAGACCAAGGTTGGATAAAGCACAGGGACAAATAACCAAATGAATGGAAACACAGGAACTATGAACCAATGGCTGAGGGGTCCCCAACTGGATCAGGCCCTCTGAATGGGTGAGACAGTTGATTGGCTTGATCTGTTTGGGAGGCATCCAGGCAGTGGGACCGGGTCCTGTGTTCATTGCATGAGTTGGCTGTTTGAAACCTGGGGCCTATGCAGGATCGCTTGGCTCGGCCTGGGAGGAGGGAACTGGACCTACCTGGACTGAGTCTACCAGGTTGATCTCAGTCCGCGGGGGAGGCTTTGCCCTGGAGGAGGTGGGAATGGGGGGGTGGGCTGGGGGAAAGGTGAGGGGGGCGGGAGGGGGGAGAACTGAATTGTATTGCAAAATAAAAATAAAAAATTTTAAAAAATGGGAAAAATTTTTAAATGGAATATTGAATCTGTTAGATGGGTATTACTGATGATTCATTCAGATCTACAGTGGAAAAAAAACAAGTGGGGCAGAAATAAATGAAAACTAAAAGGTAGTTTCAGATGGCAGTCAAGTGCTGAAACAGGCAGAAAATTTCAAGGAGTTTATCACTATTATAGAGAAGGCCCTTGTGCTGGAATTGAAGCCAAAGGGTAAGACTCCATCCAGCTAAACCTTCAATTTATGGAAGGAGTAAGCAAAGTGATTTCTAGCCCCAGGAAGCAACTTCACACAAAACCTGCTTCACCTGTGCTCCAAGTGTGTTAGTGTCCATCCCAATTAAGAAGTCAAGCTTTGCAGGATCACCCATCATGTGCTGATCCTGGAAACAAGAAAGAATCAAAATTTAAAGTCACAGATTCTTAGTCTGTGGTTACAGTTCAGCATTGTTGCAGGCGTCTATGTCTGATAGAGTCAGAAACCCAGTGAGGAGACTGAGAGTTCATTGCATAAAGCTGTAATGATGCAGCCAGATGTTTGTTGTTGTTGTTTCTCTTTACTCTTTTGGGGGCTGGTGACCCAGGTCCCAAATAAATCACACATATAAGCTTATTCTATCTTAGAAATGCCCAGCCTTAGCTTGGCTTGTTTCTAGCCAGCTTTTCTCAACTTAAATTATCCCATCTACCTTTTGCCTCTGTGCTTTTATCTTTTTCTATTCTGTGTACCTGTCTTCTTACTCTGTGGCTTACTGTGTAGCTGGGTGGCTAGCCCCTGGTGTCTTCTCCATTTATTGCTCCTCCTTCCTTTTTTCCTCCCAGATTTCTCCTCCCATTTATTCTCTCAGTCCACCAGCTCTGCCAATCCTTTCCTGCCAAGCTATTGGCCATTCAGCTCTTTATCAGACCAATTAGATATTTTATATAGGCAAAGTATCACAGCTTCATAGAGTCAAACAAATGCAACATAAAAGAATGCAGCACATCTTTGTATCATTAAAACAAATCTTCCATGGCATAAACAAATACAACACATCTTAAAATAATATTCCACATTTCCCCCTTTTTGTCTAAATAAAATGAAAGGTTTTAACTTTAACATAATAAAACTATATACAACAAAACAGTTATCAAGTAAGAATTACATTCACAATATTCAGTCCATTTGTATTTAGCAAATTCAGAGAAAACACTCCATTATCCATTCCATCTTAGTGACTGTAAAATTTAATACCTAATTTGCTTTCTATCATAACTATGGAAAACTAAAACTCTAATTATTTGGTCTTTAATTCCATCAAAGAGCCCAGAAGGAATTAATAATACCTAACAACAGAGACATCTGCCTGGACAGTCACCCAAATTTCCCCTACAACATTTGGACATCCATCTTCAGCTTACATGCCTAGAGTATCTGGCAGACTTTCCAGTGAAGTGAGAAGTTTGTAGAACTGTCCTGCCTTGTATTGACAAAGTTTCTCAGTCATTTTCCTCTGTGTCCTGCAGAATATCTGACAGACTCTTCAGTGAAACAGGAACTTCAATGGACTGTCTTGCCTTGTTTTGGCAAAGTTCAGTAGTCAGTTTCATTTGTGTCCTACATGTCCAGTCTGCACAGCACACTGTCAAGAAGTCAAGGCAAAAGCAGTTTCTTTCCCAAATGGCTAATCTTGCCACAATGAAAGCAAACTCCCATGGAGTTTCTTCAATGCTCATCATCCTTTTATGAAGTAAATTGGTACTGCCAGGAGCAGATGTGTCTCTTTGTCATGAAAAAACCTTATGTTAACAAAACATTTTAAATGCCACATTTATAAGTGTTTGAAGTGTGTAAAGACCATTTATCTGTCTAAAATATACCTATTTAACCTTGAAAAATACTTAATGTGACTACAAGTTTGATTATTATAGATTAACTACTAATCTCATTTCTTAATTATACATTGCATTTTTAAATGAGGTGTAAAGCACAATACCCCAAACAAGAGTAGACACACATAGAGAGTGTAACAAAAATTAACTTTAATTTTTTTATCAATATACCAAAATCCATGCCAATGTAAAATATCTGAGATTAATAGTTGGTTTTTTTATCCTATATTCCCCTAAGTAGTAACACACATCCATAACTCACCAAATAACCAAAAGCCTTTTACACCCCTCTTGGGAATGTGGGTACCATGTTCTCCAAACTGCTTCCTGTAGTCTATGGGTGAAGGCATCTTTAGGGTCGCAGAGAGAAAATTTGAGGTAATGGCCAAGTCCTGGGAAGACAGGTGATAATCTTTGTTGGTAGATATCACCTGCCAATATTCAGGAAGTGTCCCTTGATCAAATATGATCCATCTCATCCCTGAAGGGAATCCACAGCCTCTCATCTCCTATAGGAATAAAAGCAAAAACTCTTCTCCAAAGCATTTTTTATTTCCATTTGACACATATATTTTTTTACTTCCATTTTAAAGTTAAGATAGCCCTAAAGTATCTAGGTTGGTTTAGTTTTGCAGTCCAGTTTACAATCCCATGTCTGCCAGCAGTTGTTCTTTGCTCATCAACATTCAAAAAATTCAAAATCAACACAGTAATATATAGGATCTAGACTCTCTGTGTATTTCCCATGTTTACATGGCTTCTTTCTTCTATATTATTTTTACTGTCTCTTTAAAGACTTTACTATTTTTAATCCATTTATTTCTTTCTTTGAGAAACACACTGGAACCTGGTCACAGTTTTGTTTTGTTTTGTTTTTTCCATCTGATCCACTTTTACTGCATATCACTTAGTCTTTTTTGATTACATGAGCAAACTTTTAAACTGCTAAGCAACAGCTGGGTCCTCTGCCTGTGGCTTTGGTGACTGGCTCTGTCTGCTTCTCAGGTTGTGAAAGCCAAGCCTAAAGCTTGCAGCCCAATAGGAGGTGTGTGACAGAAAACTGTGTTCAACCTTCCTAGCTGTAGAATGCAGATACTTGCACTGCCATGGGCATTTTTTCCTTTTTCCTTTTTTTTTTTTTTTTTTTTTTAATATACCTGCTGCTTGAGGACTTTCTGTAAGGAAGAAACTCTTAAAGGAGCCGTGAAAGTCAAGTCTTACGTTGGTATGCCAAAATGTTGTTGGTTGTTATTATTCTTGCTCTTAGCTCTTTTGTTCTTTATTCTTTTTTTTGGGGGGGGGGCACCACACAGCTACCAAATCAATCACACAGAGTCTTAATATTACTTATATATTTCTGACCTTACCTTGGCTTCTTTCTAGCCAGCATAACAAATTATTCCATGTACCTCTTGCCTCTGGGCTTTTATCTTTCTCTATTCTGTATACCATTCTTTAATTCTTATGCCATGGCTTGCTGTGTAGCTGGGTGATTGGCTCCCATTGTCCTCTTCTTGCTTCTCCTTTTTTTCATCCCAGATTTCTCCTCCCATTTATTCTCTCTGTCTGCCATCCCCACCTATCCTTTCCTGCCAAACTATTTGCTTTTCAGCTCTTTATTAGACCAATCAGGTATTTTAGACAGGCAAAGTATCACAACTTCACAGAGTTAAATAAATGCAACATAAAAGAATGCAACACATCTTTGCATCATTAAAACAAATCTTCCATGGCATAAACAAATATAATACATCTTAAAATAATATTCTATAACAGCCTGGGTTGCATTTTGAGACCACAAGATGTTGAGATAACTAACCTATGAGATATCTTCCAGGGAGAGCTAGCTGCATATAGGGAGTCAAAGTAACTGAAGGGAGAGATGTATGAGAAGTTTTGGGGATAGGGCCATCTAAGCCCTTTGAAATTGAAGTTCCATGAATCTGAGACAGAGCTACAGGATTTGATGTTTGTGCTGCTGTGCTTCAGTCTTGCCTTGGTCCAATCTTCTCTCACTATGTCTCGATTTCTCTATTTTGGAATGTGAATGGTATTTTGTACCATTGTATGTTTGAAAGATGTAACTTGTTTTCTGATTTTACAAGATATCATGGTCAAGAGATTGTCTTGGGTGTCAGAAGAGACTTTGGGCATTTGAACAGTGTAGGGGTTGATGCAGACTATGAGGATCATTGAAGTGACTAAATGCATTTTCTTCATAGATGACCATGAGCCTATAGTGACCTGGATCAGAATGCATTGAATAAAAAACCTCCCAGATAGGATGATGTATTTGAACATGTGTCTCTCTTTGAAGACTTTCTATCAATTGTTTTTGAAACCTTTAGTAGGAGGAGCCTTCCTTGATGAAATCCTCACTGGGGATGTGATATGAGTATCTATAGACTCAGCCCACTTCCTGTTCTTTGGGTCTACTGTGTTGTGTTTGAAACTAATCAGCCAGCTTCCTTCTCCTGTCATGCCTTCACCACCATTATAGACTATCCCTAAATCACATAAGATTCAGTAGAAGCAATTGATATTCATTGCTACCACTTTGCTACCCTTCTGGTTTTTTTTTTTTTTATTTATTTATTTGTTTTTGAAAACAGGGTTTGTCTGTGTAGCCCTGGCTGTCCTGAAAGTAGCTCTATACACCAGGCTGGCCTCAGACTCAGAGATCCCCTTGACTCTGGCTCACAAGTGCTAGGATTAAAGGTGGGCCAACATTCTTGCTTTTTTGTTTTTATATTATTGTGTGATGGGCCTAGAATGTAGGTTTTTGTCCATGTCAAGTATATGCTGTTGTACTGAGCTTTACTCATAACTTAAATTTTAAAATTTGGCAGAGGGTATCATTCTGTTTCCCGGGATGACATGTATTCATGGTATTAATACTGCCTGAGCCTTCTGAGTCATTGTATTGCAGGTACATCACCTTCTTCCTGCCTGTTGTGTTTGTTTTGAATTTTTTAATAAAAATGAGTACTTTACCTGTATGCATGGATATGTACCACATGGGTACCTGATCCTCACAGTGATCAAAAAATTGTCTCAGAAACCCTGAACTTGGAATAATGGATAGTTGTGATCCCCCAAGTAAGTACTGGCAATTGACCCCACCTGTATGCAAGACCAGCAAGAGCTTTTTACTACTGAGCCATCTCTTCTGCCCTGTGTTATAATCAACATTTATATTGCTAATGCTTTCATCCATCCATTTGTAACTGTTTCATCATGCAGTGCCTTTTAGTAAAATCTTATTGATGTTACAGTTTAAATTGAGGCACTTCAGGTTTGTGGAAGATGAATACAGAAGTGGAGTGAATGCATAACTCTTTGTAAGAACTCTAGTAAAAAACCTCTAAGTTCTATCTTTTTTGTTTGTTTGACTGATTTTTGCACAGGAGACAGGGCCTTAATATGTACTTCTGGTTGTTCTGTAACTGATTGCATAGACTGGGCTGGCATTCAACTCTGAGATAGATACACCTGCCTCTGACTTCTGAGTGCAGGGGTTAAAGGTATGAACCAATACACCCAGCTTCTCCATCTTATTTTTCTTTTTTGCAGTTAGTAATTATTCATACAATTTCTCTCATGTGTACTCTGTATTGTTGATCTGTTTACTTGTCTCTCTATGTTTTTTAATAGGTATTTTCTATTGCAAGTTGACATTCCATTCACAGGGTACAGAAATGACAGAGGTGAACTTCCTATTCAGTTTCCTTCTAAAATGACTTGGTGATTACATTATAATGTCTATGTCATGGAATAAGTGTGGGGAGCACCAGAATTACATGACTATACTATCAAAGAAGTATACATTTACAATGTTGTCAGTATCATGCTTTCTGTTGTATACATGTGTGGGATATTTTAGAATACAGTGACCTATGATGATGTGCATGTCAACTTCACTTGGGAAGAGTGGACTTTGCTGGATCCTTCCCAGAAGAATCTCTACAAAGATGTGATGCTGGAGACCTACTGGAACCTCACTACTGTAGGTAAGATTGAATTTTCCTTCAAGTTTTAAAATAAGGAGACAACTGTTTCTTGTTTTTTATGTTCTTCTGTAATTTGATTAAGAAGCGTGAGGTGAATAAATCAGGCATGGTTCTAAGATACCCTGAAGACAGTAACTTAAATTTTGCACAGTTTTCAATAGCATAACATACATTTTCTGGTACTATATTTTAGGATACAGTTGGGAAGACCATAATATTGAAGAACATTGTCAAAGTTCCAGAAGACATGAAAGGTAATTTTCATGTGCAAGCTCATACCAATGTGCCTCTGAAGAAATTTTAATGTGTCCTGGAAGTTTTAAACAAAAGCAACAGTGTAAATAAGCACAGCTTAATGTGCATTGATGATTATTAAATTCTCACAAAACCATATACCTCAATTTCAGGTAGGTGAATTGCATTTGCAAGGCATTATTTTAAGACAGAAGACAAGGAAACTATGCCTTAACAGATCTCACCATTTGAATCATAACACCATGGGAGCTAGGCTGTAGAACTGCCAATCTATTTAGTTTCATACCACTCATATTACAGAAGCTATACATGTTGAAGAGGTGATGGGTATATCTCCAAAACCTTCTAATAAGCAAATAGTCCATTGAAAAGCTAGTGTAATTCATATACTTGTTGTGACTGTGCTAAATTTAGTGAGAGGGGCAGTCAGAGTCAAGAGTCAAGGGAAAGTTGTTGTGGAGAAACCTTACTACCTATACCACATGCCTAGAGGAACAGAAAGTCAAACTGTGAATTCAATGTAGAAACCTTTTTATTCATTATTTTCCCTTTACTAGGCATATGATATGTCACTCTGGATAAAAGCCATATAAGCATAGGGATATGGAAAATTTTAACATACCTCTCTCTAAGAACAATTAGAAAATGTATAGCAGTCCCCACGTTGAGTATACTTGTTGAATTTGATTCAAATATACAAGTAATTGGTTTTCCAGTTTCATTGTTAATACATCAACAAACTCATACTGCAAAAAAAGCGCTATGAGTACTAGGACTATGTAAACACTTTTGTTTCTCCTAGTTCACTTTGCACATGTAGTATCACTCACATTATAGGAAAATTTATGAATGCAATAAGGGTGGTAAAGCTCTGAGTTTTTCCAGTTCTCTTCAAATATGTGAAAATTTTCATATAGAAAAAAGATTCTGTAAATGTAAACCGTGTAATAAAGGATCTTACCATCACAGGTATCTTCAAAGATACAAAACAACCCTTAATGAAGGGTAACAACACGAGTGTAAACACAGTGATAAAACCTTAAGATCTGATTCCTTTTTACAATTGGACCAAATAGTGAAATTAATTCATACAGATATAAAGATTCAACAGTGTATTGAATGTGGTAATGCTTTTACATGTGCCAATTATCCTTGCAGGCATGAAAGAAGTAGTAGTGGAGAGAAGCCTTCTGTATATACTCAATGTGTTAAAGCCTTTGCATTTGACAGTCATCTTCAAAGGCATGAAAGAACACATACTGGCGAGAAACTCTATGTTTGTAATCAATGTGGTAAAGCCTTTGCACATAACAGGAATCTCAGAATACATAAAAGAACACATACTGGAGAGAAACCCTATGAATGTAATCAATGTGGTAAAGCCTTTGCACATAACAGGAATCTCAGAATACATAAAAGAACACATACTGGAGAGAAACCCTATGAATGTAATCAATGTGGTAAAGCCTTTGCTTATCATGTTAATCTTCAAGTGCATGAAAGAACACATACTGGAGAGAAACCCTATGAATGTAATCAATGTGGTAAAGCCTTTGCACATAGCAGGAATCTCAGAATACATAAAAGAACACATACTGGAGAGAAACCCTATGAATGTAATCAATGTGGTAAAGCCTTTGCACAACACAATAAACTTCAAATACATAAAAGAACACATACTGGAATGAAACCCTACGAATGTAATCAGTGTGGTAAAACCTTTGCTCATCATGCTAATCTTCAAGTGCATAAAAGAATACATACTGGAGAGAAACCCTATGAATGTAATCAATGTGGTAAAGCCTTTGTGCAACACAATCAACTTCAAGTGCATAAAAGAACACACACTGGAGAGAAACCCTATGGATGTAATCAATGTGGTAAAGCCTTTGTTCATCACAATACTCTTCAAAGGCACAGAAGAACACATACTGGAGAGAAACCCTATGAATGTAATCAATGTGGTAAAGCCTTTGCACATGACAAGAATCTCAGAGTACATAAAAGAACACATACTGGAGAGAAACCCTATGAATGTAATCAGTGTGGTAAAGCCTTTGCACAGCACTGTACTCTTCAAATGCATAAAAGAATACATACTGGAGAGAAACCCTATGAATGTAATCAGTGTGGTAAAGCCTTTATATGTCATAGTTATCTTCAAAGGCATGAAAGAACACATACTGGAGAGAAACCCTATGAATGTAATCAATGTGGTAAAGCCTTTGCACAGCACTGTACTCTTCAAGTGCATAAAAGAATACATACTGGAGACAAACCCTATGTATGTAATCAGTGTGGTAAAGCCTTTGCATGTATCAGTAGTCTTCGAAATCATGAGAAAATGACATATTGCAGAGAAACCCTGTAAATGTAGTCAGTGTGGTAAAGTTTTGCAGTTTATACAGGAGTAAAGTTTTTTATGTAACATCATTCTGTTAAAGCCATACATATTACAATAGTCTTTGAGTACCTGAAAAAAAATCATGAGAGCTTCTTATTATTTGGGAAGATCTTTATCCAATACACTTGCATTCAGTTACACAACAGTATTCTGTAGAAAAAAAATTGATGTCAACAATCTGTTCAAACATTATTATGTCCATTTTTATATTGTTTGTACCTGCAAGCTTATAGAAAAATTAATTATGAAGCCCTACATGTAGGGCAAAAGGGCCAGCCAAAGAAACACACCCTGACCCTGAAACCAGAGCCAAAGAAGCATACCTTGTCCCTGAAACCAGAGCCAAGAGGTTAAAAAAGGCCAGTGCATGAAACACACTTTGGCCCTGAAAACAGAGCCAAAGAAACACACACTACCCCTGACCAACTGAGCACAAAACCAACCAATCCCTGAGCAGGAATTCTGGATCTAGGCACCCAAACCCCTACAAACCTAAGCTGAGACAACCCTACTCAACCTGACAACCAGCCAATCACCAGAATGCTTGGCCATTCAGGCTGAAAGGCAATAAAGGAAACAGAAAATAAGGGAACAAAAGACCCATCCAACAGAGACATCACAAGAAGCAACATCTATACCTATAATTATCCCAAACCCAGATGGGTAAATGACAGTGTAAGAATATATTCAACAACATAAAGGGCAATATGGCACCACCAGAACCTAGTGATCCTACCACCCCAACACAGATGAAGTAGAAGAAAACAACTGTAAAAATAACTTTATGAAGATGATAGAGGCCCTTAAAGAGGAAATGAAAAATTCCCTTAAAGAAATTGAGGAAACAATAAAGAAAAAATTGGAAGAAATAAATAAATCCCTCAAAGAAAACCAAGAAGAAGCAATCAAACAGGTGACAGAAACAGTTCAAGACCTGAAAATTGAAATAGAAGCAATGAAGAAGACACAAACTGAGGGAATGCTGGAAATGGAAAATCTGAGTAAACAAACAGGAACTACAGATGCAAGCATAACCCACAGAATACAAGAGATTTCCAGAGAATCTCAGGAATGGAGGATATCAATAAAGAAAACAGATTCATCAGTCAAAGAAAACACTAGGGCCAAAAAAGTCATAATACAAAATGTCCAGGAAATCTGGGACACCATGAAAAGACCAAACATAATAATAGGGATAGAAGAATACCAGCTCAAAGGTACAGAAAATATATTCAACAAAAATCATAGAAGAAAACTTTCCCAACCTAAAGAAGGAAATGCCTATGAAGATACAAAAAGCTTACAAAGCACCAAATAGACTAGACCCATCAAAAAAGTCCTCTTGCCACATAATATTCAAACCACTAAACATACAAAATAAAGAAAGAATATTAAGAGCAGTAAAGGAAAAAGGCCAAGTGACTTATAAAGACAGACCCATCAGAATAACACCTGACTTGTCAATGGAGACTCTGAAAGTCAGAGGGTCCTGGACAGATGTTGGATGGATGTCAACCCAGACTACTATACCAAGCAAAATTTTAAATCACCATAGATGGAGCAAACAAGATATTCCATGACAAAACCAGATTTAAACAATACCTATCCACAAATCCAACCCTACAGAAAGCACTAGAAGGAAAACCCCAATCTAAGGAAGTTAGATGCAGCCAGGAAAACAAAGGCAATAGATAATCCCACAGCAGCAAACCACCAAAAATAATAATAATAATAACAAGAGTTAAGAATCACTGGTCATTAATATCCCTTAATATCAATGGATTCAATTTGCCTATAAAAAGACACAGGCTAATGGAATGGATATGAAAACAGGATCCATCCTTCTGTTGCATATAAGAAACACACCTCAACTTCAAAGACAGACACTACCTCAGAGTAAAAGGTTGGTAAAATACTTTCCCATCAAATGGACCTAAGAAACAAGCTGGTATAGCTATCCTAATATCTAACAAAGTAGACTATAAACTAAAATCAATCAAAAGAGATTGGGAAGGACATTATATATTCATCACAGGAAAAATCCATCAAGATGACGTCTCAATTTTGAACAGTTAGACCCCAAATACAAGGGCACCCACAAGTGTAAAAGAAACATTACTGAAGCTTAAATCACACATCAAACCCCACACACTAGTAGTGGGAGACTTCAACATCCTACTGCCAGACAGAAACTTAACAGAGAAATAAGGGATCTAACAGATGTTATGGCTCAAATGGACTTAATAGATATCTACAGAACATTCCACCCTAACACAAAAGAATATACTTTCTTCTCAGCACCTCATGGAACCTTCTTTAAAATTGACCACATACTAGGTCACAAAGCAAATCTCAACAGATACAGATAAATTGGAATAACCTATATTTTATCAGACCACCATGGCTTAAAGTTAGATTTCAACAACAACAAAAATTACTCAACTGAATCACCAATGGGTCAAGGGAGAAATAAAGAAAAAAATTAAAGACTTCCTAGAATTCAATGAAACTGAATGTACAACATACCCAAACTTATGGGACACTATGAAAGCAGTGCTAAGAGGAAACTTCATAGCATTAAATGCCTACATAAAGAAGTTGAAGAAATCTCACACTAGCTACTTAACAGCACACCTGAAACCTTTTGTAGAACAAAAGGAAGCAAACTCACCCAGGAGGAATAGATGCAAAGAAATAATCAAATTGAGGGCTGAAATCAATAAAATAGAAACAAAGAGAACAATACAAAGAATCAATGAAACAAAGAGTTGGTCCTTTGAGAAAATTAACAAGATAGACAAACCCTTATCCAAACTAACCAAAAAGCAGAGAGAACATCCAAATTAACAAAATGAGATATGAAAAGGGAGACATAACAACAGACAATGAGGAAATTCAGAGAATCATCAGGTCATATTTCAAAAACCTGTACTACACAAAATTGGAAAATCTGAAAGAAATGGACAATTTTCTTGATAGGTACAGATAAACAACTTAAGTAGACCTATAACCCTTAAGGAACTAGAAACAGTCATTAAAAGTCTCCTAACCAAAAAAAGCCCAGGACCAGATGGTTGCAGTGCAAAATTCTACCAGAATTTCAAAGAAGAGCCAATACCAATACTCTTCAAATTGTTCCACACAATAGAAACAGAAGGAACATTGCCAAACTTTTTATGAGGCTACCAAACCACACAAAGATGCAACAAAGAGAATTATAGACCAATCCCCCTCATGAACATTGATGCAAAAATACTCAATAAAATACTGGCAAACCAAGTCAAAGAACACATAAAAAAAATCATCCACCATTATCCAGTAGGCTTCATCCCAGACATACATAAATGGCTCAACATAGGAAAATCTGTCAATGTAATACACCATATAAGCAAACTGAAAGAAAAAAAAACCTACATGATCATCTCATTTGATGCTGAAAAAGCCTTTGACAAAATCCAACACCCCTTCATGATAAAGATCTTGGACAGGTCAGGAACACAAAGAACATACCTAAACATAATAAAGGCTATTTATAGCAAGCCAACAGCCAACATCAAATTAAATGGAGAGAAGTTCAAAGTGATTCCACTGAAGTCAGGAACAAGACAAAGCTGCCCACTCTCCCCACATCTATTCAATATAGTACTCTGTAGCATGAATCTTCAAAGTTCTTATTAATAAAAACAAACCCAAGGCCAGTTATTGTGGTGAACGCTGGAAGATCAGAGAAGCAGAATAAGCCACAGCTTCCTCACCTCATCAATTCCTCAGCTGATCCTGTTTCCTAAGACTGGAAGCCTCTGAGTTCTCATCCAGAATGAATCTTAGCTGAACTGCTGCTCCAAAAGCCCAAAAGCTTAACCAGCACTAGGTCCTGGTCTTCATGCTTTATATACCCCTCTGCCCTCTGACATCACTTCCTGGGATTAAAGGTTCTTGTTACCATGCCTAGCTGTTTCCAGTGTGGCCCTGAACTCACAGAGACCCGGATGGATCTCTGCCTCCCAAGTGATAAGATTAAAGGCGTGTGTGCCACCATTTTCTGGCCTCTATGTCTATCTAGTGGCTGTTCTGTCCTCTGACCCCAGATAAGTTTATTAGGATGCATACTATGTTGGGGGACACAATATATCACCACAGTACTCAAAGTTCTAGCTAGAGCAATAAAACAACAAAAGGAGACTAAGGGGATACAAATTAGAAAGGAAGAAGTAAAACTTTTGCTATTTGCACATGATATGATAGTATACATAAGTGAGCCCAAAAACTACCAGGGAACTCCTACAGCTGATAAACACCTTTAGTAATGTGGTGGGATACAAGATTAACTCAAAAAAAAAAAATCAGTAGCTCTCCTATATAGAAATGATAAACAGGCCGAGAAAGAAATCAGAGAAACATCACCCTTTACAATAGCCACAAATAATATAAAATACCTTGGGGTAACTCTGACTAAGCAAGTGAAAGATGTGTATGACACAAATTTTAAGTCTTTGAAGAAAGAAATTGAGGATATCAGAAAATAGAAAGATCTCCCATGCTAATGGATAGGTAGAACCAACATAATAAAAATGACAATCTTACCAAAAGCAATCTACAAATTTAAGGCAATCCCCATCAAAATCCCAACACAATTCTTCATAGACCTTGAAAGAACAATACTCAACTTCATATGGAAAGACAAAAAACACAGGATATCTAAAACAATTCTGTACAATAAAGGAACTTCTGGAGGCATTACCATCCCTGACCTCAACCTCTACTATAGAGCTATAGTAATAAAAACAGCCTGGTATTGGCATAAAAACCGACAGACACGTGGACCAACAGAATTAAACTGAAGACCCTGACACTAATCCACATACCTATAAATATCTGATTTTTTGGACAGAAGCCAAAACTGTACAATGGAAAAAAGAAAGCATCTTCAACAAATGGTGCTTGAATAATTGGATGTCAACATGTAGAAGATTGCAAATAGATCCATATCTATCATCATGCACATAACTCAAGTCAAAGTGGATCAAAGACCTCAAAATAAATCCAGTTACACTGAACCTGATAGAAGAGAAAGTAGGAAGAAGTCTTGAATGCATTGGCACAAGAGACCACTTCCTAAATATAACACCAATAGCACAAATACTGAGAGCAACAGTTAATAAATAGGACCTCCTGAAACTGAGAAGCTTCTGTAAGGCAAAGGACACAGTAAATAAGACAAAATGACAGCCTACAGAGGGAAAAGATCTTCATCAACCCCACATCTATCAGAGGGCTGATCTCCAAAATTTATAGAGAATTCAAGAAACTAGACATCAAAATACCAAACAATACAACTTAAAAATGGACTACAGAGCTAAACAGAATTCTCAACAGAAGAATCTCAAATGGCTGAAAGACATTTAAGGAATTTCTTGGCATCTTTAGTCATGAGGGAAATGCAAATCAAAACGACTCTGAGATACCATCTAAGACACCTGTCAGAATGGCTAAGATCAAAAACACTGAAGAGAGGATGTGGAGCAAGAAGAACACACACTCCTCCACTGTTGGTGGGAGTGCAACCTTGTACAACCACCTTGGACATCAGTATGGCAGTTTCTCAGAAAATTCATAATCAATCTACCTCAAGACCCAATGATACCACTCCTGGGCACATCAATGTTCAATCATAGCACAAGGACATTGGCTCATCTATGTTCATAGCAGCAATATTCTTAATAGCTAGAACTTGGAACAACCTAGATGCCCCTCAACCGAAGAATGAATAAATGTACATATACATAGTGGAGAGTATTACTCAGCCTAAAAAAAAAAATGACGTCATGAAAATTTGCAGGCAAATGGATGGAACTAGAAAGTATCATCCTGAATGAGGTAACCCAGACTCAGAAAGACGAACATGGTATGTTCTAACTCATAAGTGAATACTAGATGTAAAGCAAAAGATAACCAGACTACAACCCATAGCTCCAGAGAAGCTAGAAAACAAGGAGAACCCTAAGAGGGACACATGATCCCCTTGAGAAGGGAAAACAGATGAGACCTCCATGAAGCCTTCATCCAGTAACTGATAGAAGCAGGTGCAGAGATCCATAGCCAAGCACCAGGCCAAGCTCCAGTGGGAGAGAGGGAAGAGGGAGTATATGAGCAACGGGGGTCAAGATCATGATGAGGATATCTACAGAGACAACTGAACCAAGCTCATAGGAACTCACAAACTCTAGACCCACAGGTGTGGAACCTGCATGGGACCAGTCTAGGCCTTCTGCATACCAGAGACAGTTGTGTAGCTTGGTCTGTTTGAGAGGCCCCTGGCAGTGGGATCAGGATCTATCCCTGGTGTATGAACTGGCTTTCTGGAGCCTATTACCTATCATGGGATGCCTTGCTCAGCCTTGACAAAGTGGGGAGGGGCTTGGTCCTGCCTCAACTGTATGTACCAGGCTTTGCTGACTTCCCACTGGAGCCCTTACCCTTTTAGAGGGGGGTGGGGGGTGGGCTGGGGAGAAGAAGCCTGGGGGGAGTGGAAGGAGGGATGAGAGTGGGATCTGCAGTTGGTATGTAAAATGAATTTAAAAAATTGTTAAAAAAGAAAATATATTACTTTAAGTAATATTTGTTTTGCCTGATGGTAAAATATGTATAAAGTAATAGATCAAGTAAATTGCTGTCTTGCACTTGATTAAATAACAAGTTACAGCTTAGAAAATAATATTCAACTTTTTATATTAACTGGATAATATTAAATACTAAGAACACATACAGCAACTTTCCCCTCAAAAATCACACACAAAGCACTTTAGCAAACTAAAGCTATTTGTTTCTTTTCTGAATAGGACTGTGTAAAATAGTTCTGTATGACCAGTGAAGATGCAAATTGAAATGTTTTATGGTGGGCTTTGCACAAATATTAATCTTTTCTCAATTGGAATTTTTCAAATGACACACCGTAAAGATTTCTCCATAGCTAAGAAGCTTGTTTAAAATATTATAAGTGAAAGCAAATAATTTGCACAATGTTTGATTCAATAAACCAAAATATATGCATATATGTGTCTTATTTTATGCTTTAAAAGACATTAAAGGTTGAAGTTAATATTACAGAATGGCATTCCTGGTAAAAATGTTACTTTAATAATGTAACGAAATAAGTACATCATTTTATTTTAAGCTTTATATAAATCAGCAACAACCAATGAGCTATAGATGCAATTTTAAGTTATCTGGTCAGAACTTAAAAAGTATTTTACAAAAGGGTACAATTTTAACCCTTATGGTATATATTTAATCTAACATATCAAAATACTATCAGACAGGGTATGTGGCATGGGCCTCTAATGTTAGTTCCTAAGGAGGCTGAGACAGGAAGATCCCTAGAGCCCCCAAGTAGAGGTCAGCCTGGCAGCAAAAGGAGACTGTCTTACTCACTGTTCTATTGCTGTGAAGGGACACCATGAACAAGGCAACTCTTATGAAAGAAAGAATTTAATTGGGAATTTTCTTATAGTTTCAGAGATTTAGTATATTAACCAGTGGGAACCATGGTGGCATGCAGGCAGGTGCTGGAGCAGTAGCTAAGAGCTACATCCTGACCAATAGATCAGGGAGAGATCAATAGAGCAGAGAGAGAAAGACACTGGGCCTGGCATGGGCTTTTGAAACCTCAAAGTCCATCCCTAGTTACACACTATCCCCAATAAGGCCACACCACCTAATCCTTATAATCCTTTCAAATAGTGCCTCTCCCTGATGACTAAGCATTCAAATATATGAGCCTATGGGAGCCATTCTTACTCAAACCACCACAGAGACCTCACATATACAACACAAAGAAACAAAATTACTTTAATTTTAATGTACACTCAATACAAAAAACAATATTTTATATCTTTTTATTCATACTAAGTTTGTAAACCTGGGTTCTATATTATGCTAACAGCATAATTTCGACCAGCCATATTTTAAGGGCTTGATGAAATAAATACAGTTCTGCACAGATCAAATGCATCTTTTTCCATCTTTACTTTTTCCTAATTCCTTAAAAGACATTACACTTTTCTCCATACATGTAAATAGCCCAGGAACTTTCTCATACAGCCTCTACCAATCCTTGCAGACTTATGAAATGGGAAGGAAAGGTATCCAGAATTATGTAAGAAACACAACTATTAAAAAATGTTTTTAATTTTGAAATAACTTTTAATATCACCAGAAATTAGCCCCTTCCACTATCTTTTGTTTCAAAGGTAAAATGATCTTCCTTAAATTAAGCCCTTTCTTGTGTACATATTGGTGGCAAGCAGGGATTCCTGTCCTGCCCTGATATAATCTCTCAACCATTGTTCCCTCGGTACTTCCGGCCCTGCTAGCCTGGTCCATAACTCCATGCCCCATCCTCCTGGTAGTCCTTTCCTCCAGCCCTGCTAGGACAGCATGGTTCTCTTTGGTTTCAGTGGTTCCCCGTTTTCCCTCATCTCCATTGTGGCATGTACAGATGTCACTGGGCCTATCTCTACCCTGAGGTCTGATCCACCCAGTCTCCCTTGATGTCCAGTTTCACCAACTTCCTCATGATGTACCAGAAACCACTGCCCTGGCCCACACTGTCAGGTTTCCCTCCATCACCAAGAAAGCGGCCTTTCCTTGCCTCAGAGCTCTTGGTACTGGCTTCCTCAGGAAACCTGGATCCGCTCCAAGGTTGGTTCCGTGTCTGCGCGGGAAGTCACGCCCTAGTACGCATGCGGTGAAATGAGCGCAGGCGCAGAGCTGTCTTTCTAGAAGTGCGTCCCTACCTCGGCGGCCTCGCCTACCTCGCGAGGGTCTCACGTGGGCCTCACGTGGGCCTGCGGTCATGGCCAGCTGGGTGTTCTGTAATCGCTGTTTCCAGCCGCCGCACAGGAAGTCGTCCTTCAGCCTGACCAGCTGCGGGCACGTGTACTGCGACTCTTGCCTCCGCAAAGGTGCGTGGGCAGAGGAAACGGGCAAAGGAGGGTCGCTGGCCATGGTTCACAGCGTGGGTTTCCTCCCACGGGCGGGGCAGAGGCGAGAGACCTCTATGGGCCTGCACGGCTCCAGGACCACCGAACCCCCACTGGGATCCAGAGCTGGAACTGCAGAAAGCCAGCTGCTGCATACCTGGAAGCTGGTTTGCAGCGGCCAGTTGGTCAGATGTGAATGTTTTTGTTGTTGAAGTAAAGCTTCTGCGGCGGGGGTGGGGGTGGGGGGTGAGAGGGTGGAGGGGTGCAGAAGCAGTGGGTTTTCACAAAGTGACCGACATGTTTAACTTGGCAAGTAAAGGAACAGGTACACCACCAATCCACGGAAGAGTCTCGGAAACTTCGGGTTCATTTTGTTTCCCAGCCTTACCTTAATTGTCTAGGGATTTACACACAGTATTTTGTGTGAGCATTGTACATGTAGGTGTCACAGTCATGGAACTCTGCTGTGTGGTCACACTCCAAATTATTCATTAGTTGAACTAACATAGTGGTTTCCAGATATGTGACAGATGATGCTACTGTGAAAATTCTGGCTTGTGTATTTGTAGATACAAGTATGCAACCAGGGGTAGAATTCCTGGTTTTCTGGTGTATGCTCTAAGAGGAAGCCTGGTGTGAAAAGTAGTCTGTAATGAGAGAAATTCAGTAGAAACTGTGTAGTGAGACTTGTGAGAAGCAATGTGATAAACAAGATGTAGCCCTGGGATGAGGAGAAATGGGTTTGGGGAATGCTAAGCAGATTCAACAGATTTAATTCAAGGAAGTAAGGAGCTGAACTCTTGCTGATGGATGCTGGACAGGGAACAGCAGAATGGAGGGCAAAGCTGGTAAGCCTCACCTTAGAACACTGGTTCTCAACCTTCCTAATGCTGCGATCCTTTAATACAGTTGAAGTTGTGGTGACCCCTCCCTCCAACCGTAAAATTATGTTCTTTGCTACTTCATAACTACTTTTGCTACTGTTATGAATCGTAATGTAAATATGTTTTCCGATGGTCTTAGGCGACCCCTGTGAAAGGGGCCTTTGACCCACAAAGTGGTCACGACCCACAGGTTGAGAACTGCTGCTTTAGACCCTATCTTGTGGGAGCTGGCTAGGGAGGAGACAGGAGGTAGTCCTGGTTGGGGATCTGAAATTCATAAGAGTCAAGAATGTTAATGGTGAGTCAGTAACATGGAAGTAAGTGCCAAAGGATAAGGCAGTTGGAAAATACTACCACCTTGGGAAGTATAGTTTGTAGGTTGTAAGTAGAAACAGAAGAAAGATGTTAGGTAAAGAAGGAAGTAGAGGTGTGTAGATGTCCTAGATTTTCTCCTGAAGTCAAAGAATCAGTGTTTGAAAATATCTACTGGGTCAGTGATAAAAGTCACCAATGATTTGAAATAAAGTTAAAACAATTTAGCACATAACCTAAAGATATGTATGTGCCTTCATGATGTTGCAAATTACAAGGCCCCACCCAACACTGGTGTGGGTGACTAGTTTAGGGTCTTGGATGGGGGCACATCAAGGTACTTCTGGCTCTTGAATCATGAAGCCTACATAGGTTGCAATACCCTGAACTTATTCTTTCAAAAACCACAGGTACTGCATGTTGGAAGTATATCAACCCCAGAGACACACAAAAAAAGTTGGAGGAAAAGGATAGGAGCCTCTAGACAGAGTCTTAACTTAGCTAGTTCTAGTGATTCTTATTCATACACTCTTGTTAAAATCTGATATCCTCCCAGACTTTTTCAGGTAATACAATTTTTTTTAATTTTTTACTTATTTTTATATGTATGGGTGTTTTGCCTGCATGTATGCCTGTGCACCGTGTTTGTGCCTGGTATCTGCAAGGTCATTGACTCTTAACTGGAGTTAGAGAAGGTTGTGAGACACCATGTGCTGAGAATTGAGCTTAGGTCCTCTAGAAGAGCAGCTAGTGTTATTAACTGCTGAGTCATCTATCCAGCCCTTGATGGAAATTTTGCGCACACACACACACACACACACACACACACACACACACACACACACTGTGGGGTGGATTTCAAAGGACTATCTGTAGGTGTTGTTTCTCTCTCTCCACCATGTGGATTACACTTTGTAGCAAGTGTTTTTACTCAAGTTGAACTAGTTTGTTGGCCATGGTATTTCAGATTTTTAAAACAAATGATATAATATGTATACTATTTAGTAAACTGCTTTTATTGCTCACTAGGGCATAGATTGCCTTCATTGTTAAAATTAGTCTGTTTCAGTCAGGCAGTGATGGAGCATGCCTTTAATCTCAGCACTCAGGAGGCAGAGACAAGTGGATCTCTAAGTTCTAGGTCAGACTGGTTTACAGAGAGAGTTCCAGGATAGCCATGGCTACACATGTCGAGAAACCATGTCTCGAAAACACATACACACACACACACACACACACACACACACACACACACACACACACACACACACGTCTGTTTTATTTTTAAGGTTGTAAATATCCTCAGTTACTAT